TTGAACATTAATATTTTATTCCAGAGACATTATATATGTTGCACAATAGTTGGGAAAAGTTCGGGGGTCCACTGGACTTTGCCCAAATCTGGGCAGTTATGCAGTTTCCCTAAAACTCCATTTCATCATCTGTATAATGGGAATTGTTGTATACCTATCTCATCCTTTGGTTAGGAGGGTAAATTAAGGAAATTCATGTAAACAACTAAGCAAAGTGACTAGAAGATAGTAAATCCATCATAAATGTTAGCTGATATCACCGTCATCATTGTCATTATCTTTACTGTTTTAATCATAGTCTAAATCTACTGGACTTCCACATGGAGGGCAGCTTTTCATATTTGCTTGCTTACTATGACAGGAAGACTTAACTAGTTTTAAAATAAGGATGTCAATGGAAAAGAGTCAGAGCGAGTCACATAGATACCTGAGGTCGAATTGCTGGGAAACAGAATGACCAGGTGTGTTACTGAGCACTGATTCTAGGGGAAAAAGTCCCCAAGTTGATCAAGTTTCTAAAGGGAGTTGATAAACTAAGTTTGTCGGAGAACAAAAGCAAGTAAATAATGCCTCTAAATCATTGCAGTGCCATGAAGTTACATGTCTCCTCCGTGGTTTCTAGCAGTTATGGCTTTTGAGGCGATTCAAGTTTAACCTTCAAAATGCTAAAAGTCTGTGAAGGCTCCTTGCTGCAAATGGCTACTTTGAGATGGTAAAAGTGAATCAATTGGAAGAAAAAAGGGAGGCCTTCCTCAATGTATCACTGAATGTTGAAAAGCCCTTTTTGCTGTATGCATGGAAAGTCATTTTTTATCATTCCACAAAATTAAAGCTTAAAAGTCTTCCCCCAAAACCTGGCTATGGAAATCCCCATGGGTCTCCCATCAATCTAGCAACCAGACTGTACAGGATTTTAATCAACCCTGCTGGGCAAACACCAGGCTGGTAAAGGCCAGTGGCTTATATATGACACAGTACCGCCCACACACATGGAATCAGTACGTGAGGTTCATTCTCTTCTTCTCAGTTCCACAGCCCTAGGTGCACAATTGCCTCTTTTGTGTATGTAATCTCATGGAATGAGTCGGCACAAAAGGCAAATAAGAAACCATGGGAAATCTTTGCCCAAACCTTGCTTTGTACCTGAAGTTCAAATGTGTTTGGTTAACCTTTTATTTATTCCTTCTCTTTCCTTCAGGTGACTTTTCTGGTCTTAGTCCTTGCCATGCCAGACAGTGGATCAATGGGACCCTGGCACCATGTGACAAAGAAACTCTTATGATCTGTCTATGAATTATTTCATTCATCAGGTGCATGCACTGGTACTGCCTTTGTATGGCACCACCCCTGCACTGGAAATGGAAAAATGTCAACCCAATGCACAGGTACTTCCCACCCTCTAGACATGGAAGCCAAATCATGGATGGCAAACTCCAATTTTTGCTTTCTTTCCAATTGTTTTTCCGTTGGGTAGTCTGAACTGCAATTCAGATGGCTGACCCTGGAAAAGGCAGCTTATTGAGTCAGTACCAGGATGCCTTTCCCAGGAATCCAGATAAGTGGAGGAGAATTAAGCCATGCATTAACACTTGTGATCATTAAGTTCCCTGACATGAAAGTAACACGGCCACATCACACATTGTGTGACCAGTTTACTAACTTACCCTTCCCTAGGAAGCAGAGTAATTAATCATCATTCTGTGAGAGTGTACACATATTCCCGCCAACAAATAAAGAAGTGCTTACAGAGGGCAATGCTTCTAAGCTCTATCAAACATTAGTCATACATTTGATTAAAGGATATAGCGATCAAGCTCAAAAACCTGCCTGATGGTTAAACTAAGAACAAGCACAGCCTCATTTTCTTTTAAGAATTAAGTCTTTCAAGAGCACTGTGAAGCTATGGTAGGAATAAGCAAGGGACCTGGTTGGAAGCAAAGTGAGAAAGCAATGATATGAATGAAGACAGGACTTGATTTTCAACAACACCAAAGTCAATCAAAGGAAAGTACCTGTGAATTTTCTTAAATGGCTTGCTGGAGGGTATTGTGTGGTAACTATATTACTATAGCCACTTTTTTTCATCAATTAGTATTGTTAAAGAGAGGCTTGACTACAGAGTTCCTAACAGCAGCAAAAAATAAATTTCCTCCAATTAAGTAGTCTAATAAGCTATTTAGGATTTTACCACTTAACATTCTTTCCTTCCCATTTAATTTTGGCTTTCACTTGGATGTCATCTTGTTGAAAATCCATCACAGAAAACTATGTGGAAAAAAAGAGATAATGTTGCTAAGTGCCCCTGATGTTCAAAAACGAGCATAAGCACAATATTTTTTTCTAAATCACCCTGGGATTTTTTGTAATAATTCGGCTTCTTCTTACTAGAAATTAATATATGAAAATATATGAAAATGGTCAATATGCAGATTCAAATATCACACTAGCTACTTGCCTTCAGTAAGTGCTATATGCATAAATTTGAAACAATACAATATTTTAAGGTTCTTGATTATAATAATGCCTTGGTGTGCATATGTGCATGGATAATTATGTTCATTTAATTTAATCATGAGAATATTACAGGATCATTTGGTTTTCTCCTCTAAAAGTTCTCTCACTTTTTAAAATTAATTAATTCCACTCTGCCCCTTCTAGAAGTCAGCTGATGGTAAGGAATGAGTTTTGAGCTAAAACGAAATATGGCTGCTTCCCATAGGAAATATGGAGAGCAAAAGGTCATGAGAGAAGGTAGTAGCCTCTGGCCCTTAGCACACATCCTAGTCATGGAACAGTGTTAGGCTTTTCAGTAGAACCTGGTCCTCAACATACCCACATTTTATGGTTATTTCTTCCTAGGAGTTTACCAACGCTGAGAATTTGCCCAGGGGCAGTCACCTGATTACAACAGAAGAGACCTGGAGACCAGCCCATGTGACCCCACATTCCACATGCTTGAGTAGAGTGGAATTTCTGAGACTCTGCACAGTTACTGGAATCACATGGAATACATTGAAAGGAACAGGAGGTTGAGGACATTTCACTTAACCATGCACTAGAAGAACAGATAATGCCACAGTAAGTAAAAAAAAAACAAATCAGTCATTTCGAATGGAAGGGACGAAGCATGAAATGAAGGTTATTGCGTATTATCTTTCCCCCACCAAGGAAATCTTATTTCCTCTCTTTCCTTCTCACAGAAAAACTATGTTCTTTTCCCCCCAACATGTTAACAAAGACCAAGGAAAAGAAATAGGCTGCTTTGTGCCCGTCAATAGAATCTATATACCATCTTTTCCCCCAGGGATTAATTCAGCTTTTGATTAAATCTTTCTGAGATTTAAATCATGATGTTACAAACCTCCAAGGATCTCCTCTATGAGTTGTGACCTTCTTTATTACTCTCTGCTGTTTGATAAAGTACAAAATTGATTTATAATGGTATATATTGTGTTTGAAAACAAGGACTAACAACTAGAATGGCAAAATATAATATTAAGTATTGTAAACAGTAAGCTTGGTTCAAACATTCTATAATTAATACTGAGTTACAACTATGTAGCTAGTAACACTAGTGTCAAGTGAGTATAATAATGTTATTAGGGCTGTAAATTCTATCCAAAGATTAGCTAAATAACCACACAGAAAAGGGAAAACTGGCAATGTTGAAAAAGAATTTCAACTCAATAACATTGTATGTAGTTTAGACAGATTTAGTTTGGAGGACTTTTGAAATTGAGACAAGCTCCTTTTAAATAAACTATTCATATCAAGTGTTCATTTATTTTTGTCAGCTTAATATTGGTTTCAATAATTATTTTGCCATTAGTATCATCAAGGAGGGATGATGTTTTCAAGACAACATGAAATGAGTCCATTATCTCTATCGGGATTTCCCAGTGCCAAACTAGTGGCTGCTACTTCTGCTTCTTAAAATTCCTCCTTTTCTCTCTGCCCTCAAAGGGTAAAAAATTAACCCTCAAATGAAAACTTGCATTATTATAATGTCTCTGCTGGCTCCAGCCAGAAGATTAAAAATACCCTATGGAATTTAAGCATCAGTAGAAGACAAGTGAGGATCTGAGACGTATCTACTGAATGTCAGGAGTGCTTAATATCCACAATTGTAGGTGAATGCAATATCTGGGTGAGATAATGGTAAGTTTTTATTTTCTATTTTGATAGAATAATTGACAAATTTTATGTTAGTATAAAATAGAAATAGAACCGTAGGGAGTACTTCTTGTGTTATTTAGCAGATTTCAATGCACTATTGATAGCTCTTATCGTATTTCCAATATTTACAAATTATTTTTCTCTAGGAGAAGGAAGGGGGGCTGGGATATATTTAGCTACTTTTCCCCAGTGCAGTTTATGTTGAGTCCTGCAATGCAAGTGGTTGGAAGTGGCAACAACCATCTGAAATCTGGCATAGGGGTGGGGGGGGGCGCCCTGGATAATACATTCTGTGTCATTAGGAACATTGTCACCTATCAGGCACACTGGACATCCTGACAGCAAGACTGGTCAGCAGCTACCAGCTCATCTCATATTTAACTGATGACTCACATATGATGGGGGACTGCATTTTGCTACAAGTCTCCAAAAAATATTCAGTCCCTCCAGAGTGGAATTCCTTCTTATACTGAATATTTAGTGGGTTTCTCCCTAGAGGCAATAGCTTGTACTTAAAAATACACATTTTCCAGGGTTAAGTGCAAAAGTAGAGCTAATCCATTTGATAAAATCCCATGCCACTTTTCACCTTCAAACGTTTATTATAGAAATCACCACGTCTGCCTTTTGCCATTTGAAAGAAGACAAGGTAAGACACAGAAGGTTCACGTTACCTTAGAACTGAAATGCATCCATGAATATGGAAAAGCAGGGAGAAAGGGAGAGAGAGCCAGAGAGGAAGTAGAATAATAATAAGCAAGTAATGGGCACTGATCTGAGGAACATGCTAGGAGTTTGGGTACGATAAATAAGAAAAGCAGAAGTAGATTTGAAACATTCGTTTCCCTTTATTAGCTCAGTGAGGCTGATGTGTACTGCACATTAAAAAAAATCACAGGAATTTTCATACAATGAATAAAACCACAACAATACATGAAGAATTGGCAGGTGGAAAAAAGGCCCGGCAAGGGCTCAACTAATCGCTCACTTTCTCTCTTCAGCATAGTTCAACCAACAGTATTACACTTTCACCTACAAATCTTAAAGTAGCTCCATCAAATCAGCAGTTCACATTATTGAAAATGTCTGTCACATAGGTACAAATTTAGAATCATCACATTATATTACATGGCTATTCTAGGTCATCTATAGATCAGGTCTTAGACTACAGTGATTGAAGTTCTCGTTACAGCCATCAAAAAAGGACACATAATCATTACCTACTGTAAGCTCACGTCTAAAGGCATGAAAAGGTTTCCTTTTTTCAACTGACCCGAACATCATACCCCAATAGTGCAAATTCCCTCTCTGCTGCTTTGAATGTTGACAGCCCAACCATTGTTCTTGGAGTCGTTTAGCAAAAATTGATTTTGTTGCACTGGAAGAGTTATTTGGCTACATCTCTTTTAAAAAAAAAACAAAAACCATATTTCTAAAGCACCAGTTCAGTTACCAAAATTGTAGATGTGGTACTTACCACAGCATGAGGCAATGGCCCATGGTCATCTAAAAATCCTACAGATCTATGCTGAAATTTGCCTCCAGTGATGATGGGGTGTATGTGTTTATTCGAAATATTCTCTCCCACAAAAACCAAAAATAAAACTAAAGAGGACACAGTTTACATTTTGATGGGCTACCCACAGTGTCTGCATACGATACAAAAGCTCCACTAATTTTAGATGCAATTTGAAGTCCACTGAGGAAAATTATCTTCATGGTAACAATATTTGTCAGGCCAGAGGGGGGATAAATTAATCCTCAACATGATATCTGTGGTATTGTCTTTTGATAAGTAAGAAAAGAAACCAAGTGTTCCACTCATGTCAACGATCCAGGGCAAAAAGGAGAATGTATTTAAAATTGGATCACAAAAATTTAAAGGCAAAATAGAGAACGCACTGGTCCTTGAACACATAATAGGATTTACTAAATATTGATTTCTTAAAAATAATTTATTGCTCTTAATAGTCTTTTTATTATTATTCTACAACAGAAGATACTCAAAATTCAGAAAGAAAGACTGTAAACTTTAGTTTGGCGTTCACACAGAGTTAAAATACCTGCATTTAACCTACAGAACAACAAGAATTAGGCGGATTAAAGATGTGTTACTGTTGTAACGCAGAACCTGTGAACAAGTTCTTTTATTTCATAGTATTTTTATTGCTTTCTATCTACTTAGAAATAAGAAGCCAAAAAATCAAGCAAGCATCCGACAGGACAGACAGTGGATTCAGTCAGAACACAATATGCTGGTGATAAATGAATGCAGCTATCAAAATTAGCTGCATTGGCCTGGGGGTGAAATCCATCTTATAAGATCGTGTAGGGTGAGAGAAAGGAAAAGAACAATTAAGTAGTAGGGATAACATGTCTCCCAAAAAAGTCATGTCAGACAAACAGTAATCAAATCTCAATTTAGAAACTTGAATACACACTCCAAACTTTACTGAATTCCATTCCCGGGACTCCACACTCAGATGAAATCCTGATGCTCAAAATGGAAGTTTTTCTGAAGTTTTTATTGAATTTAGCAGAAGCAATGTCATCAAGAACAACATCATGGTCACGTCAGAGGCCATGCTAGTGCAAGTAGAAACACTGCTTCTGCAAAAGCTGAATTTCCCAAATGAAGCACTTACACTCCAACCTGACAATTGTCATGCATCCTAGGTAGAAAATTTCCACTGGCTTTATTATTTTCATCATCTCATAATTTATAATAAATAGGCTATCTGCAACTGATAAATATGTCTCTTTAGTAAACAAAGGAATGAAATATCAGTATTTATACAGGATGCATAACTGTAAAAAATACAGATAAATACCATCATCATACTCTGCCAAGGGAAAGAGATACTGGCTTCAAAGATAGTCTTCAGACACACATTAATTATTGTAAAAATCATACTGTAATTATTACCTCAGCATTTTGTATCAAATTAAAATCACAAAAATTAAAACAAAACAGCATTTTAAAAAGATTTTTGACCTCTAGTTTCAAAACTACTGTTGATAGAGAAAATAAAAACATTTCTTAATGGTTACCCATTGAGACTTTACATAAAATCATGATATCGTCTAGAAAAATTTTAGATGAGAAAATTTCATTCCCCTAACAAATCCAGTGTATAAAACTTCAAAGAAAAACAAGCAACAAGAAAATGTGGAAAAATATCGCAGAAGTGGTTAATACCTTTAGGGACTAGGATATTTCTTGACAAGATGCTTAGATCGAAGCTCACCTAAGAAGAGATGGATGTGCGTAAAGCATCATTTTGTTGTTGTTGCACTCAACAGACACACACACTGTCTTGTTTTTTTTTTTACAATCAAATATATATAAGCAGTAAGTTCAGCTTCTAAATATGTTAGTGTACAATAATTGTTTCACCTCATAATTACATTTGAATATTCTTGATTAAGAAAAATTTAGCAGTTTTGAAAAGAAGGCTGCATTTACAGTGCATAGCTGTAACAAAAAAAGAACATTGTTGTATAGTATATACATAAAATAAAAATACTCCATTTAACATCTGTAAATACTTAACTACATCAGAGAATGTAGCAATTACACTATATGAACACATCCCAGAGAGTTCTACCCAACTCTCATTAGTAATGTAACACCATGTCCGCTCTTCAGAAAGAACCGCTGAACAAGCTGCACGCTTGACCATTGACAAGGCTTTTGAAATTTGCAGTGGAAGATCAACATTTTGGACATTTACATGGGTGTCAGGATAAAGGACGAACTACAGAAACTTCAAAATGTTAGGAAAGTTTAGCATTCTGGTGCCCGCAAGTATCCTCTCCCACCCAGATTCCATGGCAAATGGAAAAAGAAAAAAAGAAAAAAGAGAGAGAGAGAGGATATTAGTTCTATGGAACCTGTGGTTTCTTCAGGATTGTCATATAATCACTACGTTACGAGAGAAAGCTTGCATCGAGTTGATTTTGCACTTTCTTACAGAACAGAGTACGGAGGCTGATGCCCGACATCAGCGGCTGTCGTTTTAGGGCGGTTTGTGGTTGGTTGGTTAGTTTTCTTTCCTTTTTAATTTATATATATATATATATATATTTTTTCCTTTTGAATAGAATATGAACATTTTGAAGTTCTAGGTTTTAAGTGTGTCTTCATGGAACTGCTGCCATTTGAAGTGGTTTTGCCCTTGCACATTCTGGTCAGGTGCTTCCAGTCCCCACGTGCACACACATATACTTCCCCTAAACCAGGCTTGCACACGCACATGTGCACAGACACACACACACACAAGCACACACACACACACTCCAAGAGACTCCAGGGAAAGCAAAGCTGACACCCATGAATAAACATGTGCTTACTGGATATCATTCTGTCTCTTGCCTCTTCAGCAGCTGTGTTCATGTAAACCATTGTTATTGTTGTTGTTGTATTGTTGTTGTTTTGTTTTGCTTTTGTACAGAGAGTGTAAAGTAAGGAGAAATTCCTAAGTATGACTTGCAATATAGTCTGTTAGGGAAGGACGCGCTGTCCCGTGAGGTATTCACCATCCCTCTGTCATCCTCAGCCAGGGAACATGTTACCTGCGCAAGCTTCTTTGAGCTTCTTTCAGTAAACTATCAAAATCCAGAGAGTCATACTTGCTCTTGGTGGAAGCAGGGTCAAAGTCATCTGAGTTTGAATCTGAAACAAACCCAAGGCAGTTTAGATGCACACTTTGCTGATGAACATTGACTCAATCATTCCTATTCAAGTTTATCTGACTCATAACAACTTATCCAATCAATAGACTTGAAAAAAAAAAAAAAGAATGTCCAGATTTTATTGGATATATACAGATGTACAGGCAGAGCATAGGGAGTAGTGAGATTTCAAAAACACTCACCTATTGACTCATTTTCGTTTAAACACTCCTGAGAGGTAGGCAGAGCAGACATTAATGTCTGTTTTATAGATATCCACCCTGCCCTTGGCCTGGAGTGTCAGATGACTTGCCCACGGTTCCTCAATAACTCAGATGCACAGGTAAGAGTAAAAGCGGCAACTAATTTTCCTATTCAATGGGATTAATTTCATTGAGCACAAAATCCAGTTGAGTAGGAGAGAGAATCATCAGAACTTTTCCTAATCTCCAAACTGCTGCTTTCCTTTGAGCCAGGAGGGGCATATGATCCTGTCATCTACTCCAGTACCTCCAGGGAACTTAGCAAGAGTGGTACAAACTCTCCCCGTATTGGAAGGTCAAGGGAAATGCTTCACATCCCAAGAGTATAAATTCAGAGGGGGGAAAAAATATGTAGGTATAAATAAAGCCCTGCTCTTTCTAATACCCTTAAACTAGGGCAGGTCAGCCTTTGTGCCAAGTTTCACATGCTACTTCAAATAGCCCTTAACAAAATAGATTATGTTTTAGTAATATTGAATGCAAAGTGCCATTCTGTTAAATATTTCTGATTTTTCTCCTTTGACACCTAAGGAAAAGTCAGATATTTCTGCTGGTCTTGCAAGTGAGAAAGGAGAGCTTTCAAATATAATATAAAGCCTCTTACAAAATACGTTCAATCTTTTAAAAAATTATTTGAAGGGAAAATAAAACTATTCTGGAAAATATTAACAATCCTGCTAAAATATAAGCATTCCCCTTATTTTTCTCACAGTAAGTTGCAAAGTAGAAATTCTCAAAGTGACAAAAGACTGTAATACTGTTAATTACACGGAGTCATAATCGTTGCCCTCACAAGTTGTTTTGCTGAAGAGACTTCAATGCCCCAAGCTCCAGCCTGACTCCTCTCTTCCTTGAGCTTCACTCTACCTTCAGATTCTTAGATTTACAGACAATTAAATATCTTTACTTATTTTTTTCACTCATTCTTAGCATTCCTTGCCTTTACTGACTTTATTTCAGCAAGTTTTTCTAGGTAAGAAGGACAAGAAAAATTACAGTCGTAGATATAAAAAAATGGGGACAAAATGGTCAATCTTTCCTTGATAACACCTTAAATAGCCAATTCTTAAATTACACTGGCTTTGACCCTTCTCTTCTTAGCCTAATGAATGTTTTGCATGTATTACTATGGCCTCATGAGCAGCTACTCTTCAAATCAAAATCATTTTTGTAGAGACAAAAAAAGTATAGATTATTGCTAGAGATTAGCCTGAAATCAGAATTCCACTTTGATTGGAGATCAAGATGGAAGATTCTCCCACCAATGGAGTCTGTGTGATAAAAGTCAGCCTAGAACCATCAAGAACATATATATGTAATTTACTTTCTCTGGGAGAAGATTTTAAGGATATTTTACATTTCCTAACTTTTTATTATTCTAAGCGAAGCACAGAAGTTCAGTGTTTCTGTATTTTGCCTGGAAAATATTAAAAATAATGCAAAACAATAGTTCTCAAGACTTTCTTCCCTGTGAAATATACTGTTTACATGCATGCTTACTTATACAAACATACCATGGTACCGAGTAGGCAACCAAAAAAGTCTTTTGTGTTGCATTAGATATAATGTGGTTACATGGACTTTCTGAGGCAATAATATCCATTCTACTCTCTCACTAATGAAAGGATACTGAAACACAGTAAGATATCATAAAATTTTTATAGAAATATCTCAAAAAAGCCACTCTATTTTTCAAATCAAATTGTCATAATGATACTGCATTAATAGAAACAAAACACATCACATTTGTATTCTGAGCACCTGGAAAATTGTTGGCACAAAGTAGGTACTCAAATTAACATGTGTTGGATGAAAGTATTAAACACCAGAATATTATTAAAACTGTCATTAAAAATATTTGTATTGCGATCTGGGAATGATTTGCCAATGAATGGCAACAGGATATGTAAATTAAGTATATATTCAAAATGCTGATAAAGTATTAAAATAATAAATTTTTTCAGTTAATAAAAATTAGTGAGAATGTGTCATTTACTTCATTTTTATATATTTAAGTTCCTAATCAAAATTATTGCATTCAAAATACTTAACTATCTTTCTGTTCTGATCCTATAATCCTACCTTAATTTCTGTCTTTCTTCTTTAATATTTTGTTGTTGAGGTCCTTTATAAAAATCCATTTGCTTATATGACAATAAATAGAAAGACATAGACTATAGATTCACAGAAACCAGGACTTAACTCCTGGCTTTGCCGTTAACCATGATCAAGTCATTTTAAACTCTCAGTCTTATTAAACTTGCTCATAAATAGTAACTAGAATCATCATGGTTTACTCTAATAATATTATAGAAACCATGAACTAGTTTCCATAGAGAAATTGGATATGTGAGCTAACTTAATTTGGGGGAGCAAATAAAAACAGAAAACAAAATTCGTTAAATTTATCTATTAGTAAAATGAAGTGACAGGTCAATTCACCGTCTTGGTAAAATTAATCTGTGTCACATCATTTATGCTTTACTCTTTTTTTTTAATTTTAGCGTATTACGGGGGTACAAGTGTTAAAGTTACTTATATTGCACATGCCCCCCTCCCCCCTCGAGTAAGAACTTCAAGCATGTCCATCCCCCAAATGCTGCACATCTTGCTCCTTGTGGTTGTATACACCCATCCCCCCTCCCCCCTCTCACCCTCCCGACACCCGATAAATGTTACTCCTATATGTCCACTTAGGTGTTGATACGTTAATACCAATTTGCTGGTGAGTACATGTGGTGCTGGTTTTTCCATTCTTGAGATACTTCACTTAGTAGAATGGTTCTAGCTGTATCCAGGAATATACAAGAGGTGCTATATCACCGTTGTTTCTTAAAGCTGAATAGTACTCCATAGTATACATATACCACATTTTATTAATCCACTCATGAATTGATGGGCACTTGGGTTGTTTCCACAGCTTTGCAATTGTGAATTATGCTCTATAAACATTCGAGTGCAGGTATCTTTTTCATAAAGTGACTTTTGATCTTTTGGGTAGATGCTTTACTCTTGACATACATGTATACCTCAAATCCCTCAATGAAACCAGTGTATTCTCAAGCTCACCAGATTTAGTGTCCTTGCATGCCCTGAAACATTAATGTGAACTCTTCAGGGAACAAATACAGGATACATGAGAAATTTGTTAGTGTCCAAAGCTGGCCCTACAGTTGATTATTCTATTTTATTTAATTTTTTTTTATTTCAAAATATTAAGGGGGTACAAATGTTTTTGTTACATGAATAGCTTTTGATAATTCTTAAGTCAGGGCTATAAGCATACCCATCACCCAAATAGTTGATTCTTTTATTTAAAAATAACTTTAAAATTTTATTAGTAACTTCTCAGTACCATTATTTTAAATTACGATCATAGACACTATTTAATAAGAACCTATGTTCTGCCAGACACTGTGCCAACAACTTCACAAACATTTAATCTTCAAAAAACAAGATCAAGTATTTCACAAATGAAGAACCTAAACCTGAAGGAGAAGTTGGACTGTTTGCCCAAGGTCCATGGTAAGCCAGGTTTCAAACCCAGGTCTGCAGGATTCCAAAGCCAGGGCTCTTTTGACTACACTGTATCTACTCTCAGAAAAAACAACCTCCTATGCCATTATAGAGCTCGAGGGGATTGGAAAAGCCCATGCTACTACCATGCACATCAAATACACTTTTCAGCAAATACAGAGTGAGCTTAGCAATGGCAAAGTTTCTATTGCTGCTGGCTAGGCAGGCAGATAACAAGAGAGGAAGCATTCTTCTTAGATATATTTCAGGGAGGCTCCGGTTCAATTTGGAAATACCATCTAATCCTCCCTCTACCAGTGATGAATCGTGATCTAAAGGCCCCTCTAGGTAGCTTATTTTAAACTGTAGATGTTTTGAGAGACTAGAAACACCCTGGCCTTCATCACCGAAGAAAATAAGTCAAATCAACTCAAGACTTCAATCTGTCTTGACTGTTTTTATCAGCCGACATTTGAACAAATGACTTGCCACGTTTTATATTTTCATCCCTGGGCCTCTGTCTTTCTACCAGTCAGCTGCCTCTCCCCTGCTTCTCACTATCTATTTAGCGTGTGGAGTGAATTATAGCATATTCCCTCTGAACAATCCACACCACCTGTATCAATTACTCTAGGAAGACATCACTTCATTGGAAGGAATGAAAAAAAACAAAAACCTGTATTTGGTATTCATTTCTTTATTTATACCAAGCAAGAGCAAGTACAAACAGATATCTAATAATGCTGAGGAATAAATGTCTATGTTAACCTTATGATTACTGTTATAAGTGAATTTAAGATAATTATGTCATATATATAAGACATTTGCCACTTTCCTTTGTTCCTTTCTCAAATATCTTAAAGGCTTACAATACACATACTAGGTAGGGAATGTCATGTTAAGGAACACAATTAAAATTGGAAAGGAAATTAAGATGTTCATTGTACCATTATTTATAACTTCAAAAAGGTAAAAATTGAATAAATGTTTAGCTATAATGGAATGACTAAATATAATGGTACTATTCACCCAACAATAAGCGAAGCACAGAAGTTCAGTGTTTCTGTATTATATACTGTGGCAATCCTCGAATGTTTATAGCAGCACAATTCATAATTGCAAGGCTGTGGAAACAGCCCAAGTGTCCTCTATCTAAGAATGGATTAATAAATGTGGTATATGTATACCATGGAGTACTATTCAGCCTCTAAGAACAACGGTG